TATTTTAATTTTTATTTTTTATTTATTACAAAAAATATATTTCATGGCCTACTAAGATGTTACTGCAATTACCAAAAACTGGCATACCAAGTACACAACTCTTGTACTAAACATAAAAGAGAGCCAGGTAATAAACGATGTCCGGTGCAACTCTTTCTTCTTGATGCTGTAAATAAATATATTAAAAGAAAAAACAAAGATCAGTAAAATCTTCACTGCAAAAAGAGAACCTACATGCTTCGACAAGACAATCAGTTTTGTCTTTGCTACTCCTACAAGTATGCTATGGGTTGAGGGCTTTGGCAATAATCTGCCACTCTGTCAGCACTGAGATACCCCTGAACTCCCTTGTAAACACCCAATATGCCATTTGAAGAGTAGTGATATCAACCACTATTAAGGAGTTTTTTTCTTTATTTTTTTTCATAGTTCATTTTGTTCTTAAGAAGTTAAGCTCTCATTTACAATAACTTTTTTAATGGTTGAAGTAGATCTATTTTGTGATTAAGGTAGAACATAAATGCCTTTCAGGGAAGACATTGTCCTCCCATCTTGTACTCCTTGTAACACATTTCTATATTGAAATATAGAAAAATGTTTCCTGTCACTTATTCATTCAAAAGAAATGATCAATAATACATCAAAAAAAAAGAAATGATTAATAAGAAAAAAGTTTGTACAGCTCTCAACGAGTAGAAAAAAGCAAGGAACCATACAACTGTGCTTGGTAGAAACTTTTCGGTGAAAACACCACGAGGCCCATTGCACTTCATACTGAAACCTTCCTTCTTAAGGGTCAAAATGGCAGGCTCCCAGATATCAAGATATCCAGCCTGTTCATTACAACAGGAAAAAAAGTCAGCACACTTGACTATAAGATTCTCCAGAGCAGTGACTATAGCAACGATATGAGAAGATTTTCAGGTGTTTTCTGCAGCAATCATACCGATAAGGAAACTTCATATGAAGCATGCCCACTATAAAGGGCACTTTCCACCTGTTCTTTCATCTCAGGATCTGCAAATGAAAGAATAGTAAAAAAAATACAATTATTACAAGCAGTTCACAACATGGCCTATCCTAAAACACAAAATTGACAACCTCAGCTAAAACTCTTATCATAATATCCTCGTAGTACACAGTGAATTTTGTTTTCTTAACTATGGTTATTGTCCTTCACATTAAACATTTATGAGAAGGAAAAAGGTCAAAGTGTGGAAGCTATCATTGGAAATAGTATTATCGTTCCTCCAGCACAGCATCACTGCCAGAAATAGTAATAATACTACCACATTCTAAAACCTTAGCACAATATCAGTGCCTTCATTAGAAATGAACAAATTTATTAAGGCATTTTCACTTTTGAAGTTGCCCAAAACCCAAGGATTGAAATATCGATACAATACATCCGATACAGGGTGTATCGTATCGGTATCATAATTTACAAATACAGGATACACTACGAACAAGGGTGTATCCATTGAGTCATGCATATTGAGATGATACAGGTGCGTATTGCATTGTATCGGTTCGTTACAAGCTGATACATATCGATACATCTATACATGCCACATCTCTCTACTAAAAAACACACCTATTGTGATTTGAACCCAAGTCAATTTTATCCCCAAGCCTTAAATGTGACATTAAACCACTAGACCACCTTGCTTCTTGTGACAATAAATGAAATATAAGTACTTTTATTAGCATTGTGTCCACATGCAATCTAAACAAATACATATATTTATATTTAAAATCGAGAACATAATATTAAATTGAATCTATCAAATCCACTAATCTACATTTATATCAAAAAAAATGATTTTTATTTCAGAAAATTATAGAAATAAAATATTAATAATGGAATAAAACTTTTAGTAATTTAAATTATGAATTTGCATATGATATCTTATCAATTTTAACAACTTTGATTACATATTTATTCTTTACAAAAATAACAATATTGTTCACCAAAGATTTGAGAATTTAATATTTGTTTGGTTTCTTTAATGTTAAAAAGTAAAAACAGTAAAATAAAAAATAATTGATATAATAGTTGCTTATATTTTTTTGCCTTGGACTTAAATAGAAAATAACAAAATAATAGCTTTGTGCATGTATTAATTTGTAAAAATCTATATAATATGTCTTGGACTCTTGATTGATGCATTATCAATAAATTTTTTTTTGGAAAAGGTACAGTAATTTATTCAGCCCATAAAAGAGATACAACAAGACCCAGACCACTAAGACTGCCTGGGCACAAGTCAAATTGCAAGCTCATCCATGATTTAGAACAAAACAAAAGAGATGCATTCTGGTTTTTAAATTCCTCATTCACCGACACCCAAGAACATAACTTGTCCACAGCACTCTGCACTACTTCATCCGGGCTTTTAAATTTACCACAGAAGATTCTGTTATTTCTTTCAGTCCAAATGGACCATAACACAGCTTCCAGAATGGTACTCCAAACAATCTTTCCTTTCTTACTGAGACCCTCAATTCTCCAACACATCGGCAGCTCCTTCACAGATTTTGGCATAGTCCAGCTAATCTCCAAAACCTTAAAGAAATTATATGACATCATTGCATAGCGCTATATTAATTGTAATATATATCATTAATATATACATTTTCGATGTATTTATACATTATTTATCACTATTTTGACCTTAAATTTAGTGTTATTAATGTAATTTATGGAATTTGTATGTATTTCCCTAGCATATCCAAGCATTTCCATATTTTTCATTTGTATCCATGTGTTTCCAAAGTGTATCTGTATCCATATTCGAGTTGTCTGATACAATACACAATATCGATACTTTAATCCTTGCCAAAACCCCATAAATCCCAATTTTCATTTTAAACTACATCACAAAATTAAAACGAAGATGGGTTGGTTATACAATAAGGATAATGAGTAGATTCAAGGAAATGACTGGCACAAAGAGGCCCTTATCAACCACCCCAAGTACAAGTCTTCCTAGGATATAAACTCCATCTTTTTTTATAAAGCCCAGGATATGAACTCTATCCTAGACAGTGTTGTACACTTGTACCTAATTTTAATATAAAAAATAGGAAGGAGACTAACCCAATTGCTCTTATGAAGGCTACACCTGCTTTTAATTATCAAATAATAACTACTCCAAAAATTTGAAGGAAGTTCTATTTTCCACCCCAGCATCCAAATGTTCTAACAATGGATGTACTTGCTTTTAGTTACAAGGTACCATAGCTCTGCTGCTCACTTGGAAATTTCCAAAGCCCCTTTCCCAGCAATGACATATCCCACTCCCCTCATATACCTCTTGTATACTTGTTACCTAAAAAAAAAAAAAAAAAAAAAAAGATCATGGAATCAACAAGTAAATTTTAATTTGCCCCACTTTATATGTATCTTTGTTTTACATAGTCAATACAATATTAGGAAGAAAAAAATGCATTAAGTTTAAACAGGTAAACTCCAACCCCCCCCCCCAAATTTCACATGTTAAACTACATGCCTACAATTACCCCCATTGTTTGGCACATATGGCAGGGTTTTGTTCTCAAACTCTGTAGACCAAAAGAAACTTGCCAAACAAAATTGTCACACTGCCAAAAAAAAAGAAGCAAACATCAACAAACAAAGTTCGGGAGTGGAAAAGGCCCTATTATGTTGATGGACAAAATAAAGAAGAGAATGACAAATTTCTGGCATAAGCACAATTCAGGTATTTAAAAATTTATAATATATCACGTGATGCTCACAGCAGTATTTTCCATCCATCTTACTAACAGAAGCCTAATGGAAGTGGTAATTTAAGTGACATAAGAAAGTTTGGGGGGTATCAGAAACTTTACATGAATCTCACACCTCTCGATGCACGTTATCCATCTAAAATTTTTCATCAGAATATTGTTACTGGTCTGCATGGTAACATTACATGCATACATTTTAACTTAGAATACCATGCAAAAATGAAATATGAAACCATTTAAAATGAAACTACAAGATTGAAGATGAGACATTCAAGGCTTGTGAACATCCTGACAACTAGAACTTTTGCTATTTTTATGTCCTTTCATTATTGCATATGATAGACGGATAGTTAAAGTAACATATTGATTTGAAGTTTTGCTAATGTCTCCATTATTTCCTAACATGTTACCGAAAACAACAGTATTTTCACAATTTCCCATGATATCAAACAAAAATCAAATGTGTAGACCAATATTCCTTACATATTTCCCCAGGGAACATGGACCCCTCCAAACATGGAATGGCATCTAAAATTGACTGCAATTACAGCATTCACTCAATGGATAAATAGAGTACTCCTTTTAAAGTCATTGTTTGAAACTAATAGCAAATAATAAGCAAGTTCATTACAAAACCCATATAAACAACATATTGGTCAGCTTACCACCAGTGATCTTTCTTTGTTCATTTGCAAAGACCTTTACAATTTCACCCTGGATAGAAAGAAAATTACTTAAAACAAAGTTGAACACTGGTATGCATATAAATACACATCCAGGAACAAGTATACATGTATGTCTTGAATCAATGGCAACCTTAAATGAAAGAACTACCTTGCGCTTTCTGTCATCCAGAGGTTGGACTTCAATAGCAAGATAGCAATCAATGTCATCAGCAGTAACCAAGTAGTTAGGTTTCTTTGCCCCTGTACCAGAAAGCCTTCTGAGATGAAACTTCGTTATAAGAGCAAAAGGAAATCCCCTCCCAAAAGAAAAACCAGACAAGAAGCTAAGTAAAAGGATGACATTAATTAATTAAAAGACAGAGAAGGATTACCCTCAATGTAGTTTACAGAACCATCTTCCAAATGGCGTATCCACTGGTGGAGCAAAAACAAGGAAAGAGTTTAAAGTCTATAGCACATCAATAGGAATAACAGTATAGCAAGCACCTTAAAGTATACCAATTGTGTTCCATTAAATAAAGATCCAATTGCCGGACTTAAAGAATAATACATACACAGAAAAACAGCAAAGTTACAAAACAGAAGTACCTCAAAATTACAACTGGTCGTTCCATTAATGGAGTAGCCACATGCCTGAAGTTCATGGCCTGGAAAAGCCTCACCTGAGATCTGGAGGCCCTCTATAGCTGGTAAAGGATCATCTTCTGCAGCTGCAATGTGCAAGATGGTTAATGTGTGGCAGATGTGGCAGATACCAAACAGCATAGCTTCCAATAAAATTCAAATTGAATTTTGAACTAAAATTGCTACCTTCAGAAAATGAGGAAGATGGTTCCTCAAGTACTGGTGGTAAATAGGGAGAAAAAGAGGAGCCGGGATCGTCAAGTGCAGGGGAATTTCCAGAAAACCAATGGGCTGAAGTTTCTCTATCATTTTGGTGTCCAACCATATCTGAATCATCCATGTCATTGCCACTCGCAACATGGTTGGTCCCTTCACCAAAACGTGTGCTTTGAGAATCACTGTGAGCAACAGGATGCAGAGATGCATCTTGTGCTGAAGAATTCCTGGAGTTGCAGTAGAAGCTTCTTAGTCTGGCAACACAGTTTATATGACTAGTGCAATAATCATACTATAGTGTTTTTTACAAGTATGGCCATACTATAGTGATGGTGCAAGTATATTTGAGATAGAATCTAATTGAAGCTACCACCAGTCCAAACAGTATAGAAACCTATGTTTCCATGAAAGAGATACAGATTGGTAACAGTAAAATATATATAAAAGGGCAGCCCAGTGATTGAAGCTCCCACCAATAGGGGGTCTGGGGAGGGATAGATTACGTAGTCTTAGCCTGCACATTTAAAGAGGCTGTTTTCAAGATTTGAACCCTGGTCGCCCAGGTCAAAGTGAAATATATATATAACAAATAACATATTAAAAATATTATATTATATATATATATAATATATACATATACATCTACACACAGATTGGTTCAATTCAGTTCAGTTTTTTATGAGCACCCCTAGCTCCCAGGGGCGTTATCACATCTTTTGGATATTCCTTTGCAGTATCAGACTGAAGTACACACATAGTAATAGTCTGAGTTGAGTTTGAATTTCCATAAAAAGGATCTGACAATAACAAATAAATCAGATATTTCATCATTAAATATAATCAATTTCACAAGAGAATCTGCTAGGAAATAAAGCTCCCTCAAGATTCATCTCATCTGAAGTTCTGAACCCTCGTACTAGACAAACTTTCCCTGATCTCAATTAGTAAATGAGCTAGAACCACTGCCCACCCTTGGACACCATTTAATCACATTTACTGAATCTCGTTCTATAGCTGATGAGGATACTTGGGTTGATTTGCATGCACACACCTGTTAGGATGAGGAGGATCCTTACCTTCACCTTAGGCTAGTCAGCATCTCAAACACACCTGCTGAATGTCCAAAAAATTCCACCATATGATCTTAGAAGCACTCCACCTATAAAAGCCAGTAGGAGCAATAATTGGGAGGCTGTGGATGGGTGTTAGGTTTGCGTTGAGCTACAACCCACCAACCCATTTATCACCCTTTTTTATCAATACTGAAATTTTCATGGCGTGATTAGCGAATGAAGAGTACAACATATAAAGAGTAACTGGAGATAAAACCTCTTATCTCCACCTCTCCTTAACACCTAAGTTACAACATTGCCCAGAACATTTGATTCCTTTCCACCCCTTGTTTAGCTAATACATCACCATGCTGTTAGACTTTACACCCATTGAATATTTACATCCATACCCCTTGTCATCCATTTGATCCCTTCTGCATAAAGTCTACATGGGTTGTGACTTACCCAACACAACAAGCAAAAACTGCCTGTCAAATAGTCAACAACTAATTCCCAAAAAAGGGCTCAGTTTTTGTTTTGGCTTTTACATGAAGTTCCAATCATCAATCAAATTGCTCTGTTATAGTTTTTACATTTAAGTCATATGGCTGTATAGTTGACGGTCTTTCCAAATTTAATGTTCTTAGAACCAAATAAAATAAAAAGTAGGTTTTTCTTATTAGGAACAGAAGAATAATTTAACTAACATGTAAGAGAAATAAAATACATTTGATATGTGCCTTGACCCCTTTATGGGCAGCTAGCCTCAGGTAGCCACCACAATAACATTTCCCATTCACCCTGCTTTCGCCAGTCCATCAGCAACAAGACTATTGGCTGAACATGATGTCAAGTGTAAACTTGCAAGTGTTGTCCAGCTCCAATGCCAATTTGTTGGTCTCCCATTAGTTGTATCTTTTTTTTTTTATCGATTCCCATTAGTTGTATCTGTACTTTCAAAAATCAATCAAAAAAGTATATGTACTTCCAAGATCCAGCAGTATATCTCTAATCTGGTCTATGATTACATAAGAGTCTCCTTCGATCAAATGATCTTTGAAGTGTGAAGATTTTGCTATCCTCAATCCATGAAGCACCATCCACAGTTCTGCCTGGATGGCATTTCTATAGCCAGGCAGGTAAGTATAATGCTCAAATGTTTCCCTCCCTTGCTATCACTAGCAGCTACTTGCAGTTCTCATGTAGAGAAAACAACCCAATTTTAGAATCCTACTCAGAGAGAGAGGGGGCAGAACAACGGATCTACAAGGTACCCAAATGGATATCCATCACCCAATCCACCCATTTAAAACTTGACCTATGAAAATAAGACATCCACAAGCTACTAAATAATGGGTGAGTTTGGATGCGCTGTAACTTGTTGAGCAGTCAGTCACCAGGGAGAGAAGAGACACAATAGTGCAGAAAAAAGACGAAAGAAAGTAGGAGAAAAGGGGAGCAGAAAAAAGTAACCACCGCCCCAAATAAGTTGTATTTATATGCTGATTTAATTAAAAAGTTACAATGACCAAAATGCCCTGCCATCCTGATAAGATAATAACAGCAAATAAATAGAACAAATAATAATAACCTGTTTCTCCACACTATAAATATAATCAGGTCGGTCAGGTCAGCTGGATCAGGAATTGGCACTTGTATATGGAATGGTCTCCTTAGAGACGATTAGGGATACAACTCGGGTTGGCCCAAGTTGACATTTCACATTGTTTCAGTCTCGGGCTTCGGGTCAGGCCCATTAAAATTTTGACAAAATCCCAATCCTAACCCACCCAAGTTGCACCCCTAGAGATAATTGTAAGATTTATAGGGTGGTTTCTTCTCATATCATCTGTCAAGATTCCTTTAACTCGGTAACCAGTATCTGTGTTAGAAGTTAGAATAAAAAATCTTTCATATACCTATATTGATATGCAACTGAAGAATACAATTAATGCTTTCGCCAACACCACCTATATGTATACACCCACACACAATTCATGCATATCCAACTGACCAATAGATAATTTGACAAAACTACAACAAAAGAAAAAAGGATTTACATTGTATATTTCACTCCAAAGTAGGGGGTCTCCATTTGACCAGGCTCACCTGCTTGTGGATGGTGAAGATCTCCCCAATTTATCAGGTTCCAGATTTTTTGTAGCAAAACCACCTAAACCAGTGGGATGAGTCTGGTGCCCCAAAGGGTCCCAGTCTGTGGTGGTCTGAACATTTGAAGGAGAAGAAATTGGTGCTTGACCTTGAGAATATGTAGACTGAGCCACCAGTTCGAATCCATGGTTATTCTGACACAGAAACACATCAATTTAATGAAGCCATTATGACAACAAGGAAGAAACCATAGAAAGACATATGATCATACTGAAGTTGTTAGTGCTGCACCAATGGAATGAGCTGGTGATTGTGGAGGAAAACTTGAGTGGTTCAATGCATCAGAACGCCATGGTGCTAGTTGATACTGAGACTCGTTTAACTTTGCCTGTGACAAGAATATAGATGCAAAACAATTTTGAAGTTCTGTGGTTCACCCACCACTTCAGGAGGCACAGCAATTTTTACTTCTAAAAAGAATCAATGTGAAATGATTGCAGATGAAAATCAAAGAGGTTTACTATTGTAGTTAGTCTCACAAACATACCTCAGTAATAACAAGCTTCTCCTGCAGATGTTTAAATAGAACCTACACAAGGAAAGCCCAGAAGATTTTAACTATTATTATTATGATCATATACATTATGAGTTTTACATATATTTTTTTCCAAATGATGCCATGTCACGAGTATGAATACAGTGGCAAAATTTCCTCGGCAAAACTTGATCTATCATCTATAAATTTGGGAATATAATATCAAAGGATCTGAAGAGGTGACTACATTGAAGCCTTGATAGCTTGATAGAAAAGAAAATGCCCATGATTCAAGTAATCAAAAGAAGAAGAAAAAATAAAGGAGATAGAAACACCCAAAAGTGATGATAAGCCTGAATTTCTAAATTGATTATAAGCTATCCCATTGGCACCAAACTTCTGATCCTCTTTTCGAGATATAATCATCTTGCTATTATTCCTTCTCCTGATCTTAAAGCTTCGGGCAGATCAGACTGGAAAATGACATTTTGAGAACTTCCAGAGTTTTTCCAAAAACTCAACAAATTGGTCAGATCTAAAATATCTACAAGAAAGAGAAATTTCTAATGAGGTTGTTGTTTTGCATTTGTCAATTGGATCTTTACAAAACTGCATGTAGCATTATTTCATCATCATAACTTGTTCCCAGAGTTTTACAGCAATCAGAGCAGCACAAGCGGGGTCTAGCATCTGAGGCAGTAATATGGCCTGATTCTGATAAGGTCATTGAACAACATCATTGTTTTACTGTTAAATTTTAAAATTGCCAGATTTTATTTAATATATTCCCATCTCCCAATGCTTATTGGTTTTAGGTGTTATAAATTCTCTTGTTTTCATATGAGGACTGTAGTAGAACCTTATCTTGTTTTTATATGGACCCACAGTAGAGCAAAAAACATAGTCAATTTTGACCATTTTGGTTAGTCCTTGGGTGGCCCAAGTTGTTTGTAAAAATTCGGAAAATATAGGAAAATTTCTAGGATGTTTCACTTAGGAATTCCACTATCCATGTATGATGCAATAAATAATAACTTGAATAGTATTTTTGGAATAGAACTTATTTTCTTAGTTGCCGTAGTTGTACAACCAAGAATTTCTGATATGACTTCTACCCTTCTCTCACTCATTATTGGGTTCTCCTTGGTTATGATGTTTTAGCATTCATGATCAAATCTTACTCCCAATATACCATCTAAGATATATTTCCTTGTGTCAATGGTGATCATAAATAAGATTCTGATAACAGATTATCTTACCTGGGGAATGAGGAAAACGTTGAATCGGTGCGTCCTTTGTAATAGCCAATTCAAACCAGTTGTTTAGTTACTATTGTATTGTGCCCACAAGTTGAAAGTATAGTGCCATTTTTCTTTGGACACTCTTGGCTGATCCCAAAGGATTTATATCCTGATCCAGTCATGACCAGAACAAGGCTTCAATATGAGGATTGARGAATATATGATTCGGAATCTAGGACCCCTTGCAGCATGCTAGTGTATAAGGATGGAGCAATAATGTGAATTTTTAAGTGTAAAAGTAATCCCAAAGCTGCACTAATGGGTAATATCAAATGCAACTCTTTTGTTGCGTATCTGCTATCAAAAATTTTGTCTATCATTTTGATTTCAGAAGGCAGTTGGATTCGGTTATCTTTCTTAAACAAGATAACTGATTTTATTGTCTCTTCTTTCTCTGCATAAGAACCCAATCTCATGAGTACTATCTTGTATACTGTGTTAGTGTGTTCACATTTCATTTGTTATTATTAATAAAATTATCCTTTTTATGAAAGGTAAAATAAAGATTCATTAAAGAAAAACAAAGTACAAGAAAGGTGACCAGAAGTCACCCAATAGAAGAAATAAAGCATCATACACCCAACCACCACCCAGCACCAAACCGTCTTCATCACAACCGAAAAACCAACTTTCCAAACCAACAGGCATACATAAAACACCCAAAACAAACCTTCACACATTGCCATTCTAACAAACTTCAATCCTGCATCTCAACAAATAAACCTCCTGACCAACCCAAGAACTCAAAAACCAAACACTCAACAAATGACAGAACCTACAACTTCAACACATCAGACTCCCTCTTATAACATGACATAACTCTACTCAATTACTCAGTGTCACCAATGGCTTGGACAGGCACTTCTTTGCTTCTCTTGGAACCATTCCTTGTTTTCTTCACCTTTTTGTTAGGCCAGATCCAAACAAGCCCCCTTTCAATCTAGAAAAAAACTTTTGAAACCTGAACAATCTGATGGTTCTTCTGGCTTCTAAAACATCTTACTGTGGTAGGAGCCTTCTTGAGATTCTTCAGATCCTTAGAGCGGTAGAGACTGCATTGTTCCTCTCCAACCCCAAAACTGTGATCTTCTCAATTGTATTATTTGCAATTACCTCAGCATCCCCTTTATCAACCACCTTTACATCTCCAAATGGCCTCCATCTAACTCAATCATCCACTAATCCTAAATTAACACCATCCTCTACAATATCCACTTTATCTTTTTCCCTGCTCTTTTCCTCCAATTCTTTAAACACCATTCTTGCAAACTCTTTTGCCACAAGAAAATATAGACCCAATATTTTATTCACCTCCACTTCAGTATTCACAACTTTATCAAGCTCAATCTGTCTTTATACCGTGTGTGTTTCATCAATTATCACTTCTTTTGAATGATCATCCCCACCCTCAATCTCTTCTCCTTAAATTTCATTTATACTCTCATCTTCATCACTTAGTGGCTTTGTTCTGTATTTCTTTTTTCTTCTATGAACTTTTACGGTTTTACCAATACTTCCTATCATCTTCCTCAACCTCTGTTTCATACACTCTTACTTTGACACCAACAAACTCACATCCTGTCATCTCATCTCTCTCAAAATGCTTGTACCCTGATTTACATCATCCCCCCCAAATTGAAACCCCTCGTTCTTACTCACCAAATCATCCTTATACTGCTTTACCACAAGATGATGCAATAATTCAGTAAGCACAATAGCACATATACATACTAAATATGAGAAAAAAAAAAAACTTTAATTGAACATTTTCTCCAAAGAATTGGCAAAGCTTCAAGCTACGATCTGCTACCCACACATACCCACAAGACACTACAGCCATGCATCAGAAACATCTCCCCATGAATGACAACTGAGAATTTCTCGATGTGCAGCTGTAGTGTCTTGTGAGTAGGCTTGTGTGGAGTGTCGTGGGTAGTAGATCCAGACTCACTTAACTACAAGCACCTACAAAAGGTTATTTTAGCAAAACCCTGGGACAGAAGTCATAGAAATTAATATATATATATATATATATATATATATACTCCCATCAGGAGAGCAGACAGGCTTGCATTGTGCCACTTCCATTGGGAACTAAATAATTTCAGGAATAATGGAGATAATACATTTAAGAGACATTTTCCCAATAACTATGATACATTTGACTCAAATTTGTTAAAAGATTAGGGCGGGAAATCAATCTAAAATGCTTACATAAATAAAGTAAAAAGAAAGTTATTAATATACAAAAGCATTAAAATAAACTAATAAACAATAAAATAACAAACATGTCAACATGATCTGTATTTTACATCTAAAAAGCAGCCAATACAGACCTTAAGATTACTAACAATGGATTGTGCATCAGGCACAGGTGGCTGAAGAGAGTACTCTGCCAGAAGAGGCAACAAAGATGAGACAAATGTTGATCTTTCTTGCTGTGCGGCCTGAGAAAACAAGGCAGTGAACCTCAAAACTTGATTTAACTTGAAAACATAATATGAAACATTAAATAACAAAACGAAACCTCAAGCATACATATTCGGTCAAAATTTCACGATCTTAGAAGTCAACTTACTGCCAACAAAACTAATGTGGTACCTAAGATAATCACAAAACAAGGAAATGAACATTTCCTAACTGAAGAAGAGGATCAAATACAATATTTTGTTTTCAAGGTTTATTTTGAAAAGGATATTAGATAACAAACCTAAAAAATCTTGTAAAAGAAATGGGATTTATAGTTTGATAACCACTTCAATGGTATAGAGATGTGTGTCTATTCAAAACCAGTATGCCAAGATAGTGGCATTTAGTCCATTGATTCAGTTTATTTTTAATACATATGAAAGTTTCATTAAATAAGAAACAGACTTAACACCCCCCTCAAGTTGGGACATAGATGACAATCATGCCCAACTTGTCACACAAGTCATTGTGCCACAAGTGATGAAGACCCTACCCCTATCCAGTCAGCACTTGTATACACTTCAACTTTCAAATGTCCATGCTTTTGTAACAACCCGCTCACGGAAACTTCTTGAGATACCTAAGAATCCTCTCAACAACCTCATAATGTGTGGTCTTGTGGTTGTACAGAAATTGACTGAGGATACCCACAATATAACCAATACCAGGTCTAGTCATGGACAGATATAAAAGTCTGCCTACGAGCCTCTGGAACTGATTCACATCTTTTATAGGTTCCCCTAATTGTCACCCAACTTGTGATTTGGATCAATGGGTGAATCAGTTGGCTTCACTCCTAACTTGCTCATGTCCTCCAATAGATCTAGGATATATTTCATTTGTGAAATGAAGATCCCCTTTTCAGAGTGGGCAACTTCAAGTCCAAGGAAATAGCATAAGGGACCCAAATCTTTTACCTCAAAACAAGTGGCAAAGAACTCCTTCAGTTTCTACATTTCAATTGTCCAATCACCAATGACCACTATGCCATCAACATATACAATCAGGGCTACAATTTTTCCTTCACCCCTCCTTACAAATAATCTACGGTCTGACTGACACTATTAAAACCCATCTGCTATACGACCAACCAACTGGAACCTATTGAATCAGGCACGTGGTTACTACTTCAACCCATATAAGGATTTCTTTAACCCGCATACCTTCTGCTCACTACCTTTGGCACGAAAACTATGAGGCTGAACCATGTGCTCCTCCTCTTCTATGCTACATGGGCAAAAGACCCTATACAGTGCAACCATACGCACACGTAAACTCTTTTTGCCACCAATCTGGCTCTGTACCTTTCCACCATACTATCAGCCCTGTGCTTTACTTTTAACACCCACTTCCATCCACTGGTTCTTTTCCTTCATGAAAATCAACCAACTCCCAAGTGCCATTATTGTGTAAGGCATTAATTTCTTCCTTCGTTGCATTTATTCATTCAAGTATGGATAAAGCCTCTACCACATCCTTAGGAATAGAAACGCTGTCAATGGAAGTAAGGAAAACACAAAAAGAAGGTGACATATGATCATAGGAAACAAAGTGGGAGATAGGATGTTTAGTAGTACAGGATCTACCACCCTATGCTTTGTGCCTTTCCACCAAACCATCAACCCTATGCTTTATAGTTAACAACCACTTACATCCCACTAGTTCTTTTCCTTCATGAAAATCAACCAACTCCTAAGTGTCATTGTTGTGTAAGGCATTAATTTCTTCCTTCATTGCATTTATTCATTCAAGTATGGATAAAGCCTCTACTACATCCTTACGAATAGAAACATTGTCAATGGAAGTAAGGAAAACACGAAAAGAAGGTGAAACGTGATTATAGGAAACAAAGTGAGAGATAAGATGTTTAGTAGTACAAGATCTACCACCCTTTCTCTTAGCAATAGGAATGTCCAGATCATCAATAGAAAAAGTATCTATATCAATGGGTCAGGCATACAAATAGGAACAAGAGTATCTGGCTAGAAAGGATCTATCTCTAGAGAGTTTGATAGTATTGGTAACATAGCTTCAAGTTATTTCAAGGCTCTTGAACTCTATTGGCCCTTATGACGACGAAGGAAAACACAAAATGGAGGAGAATCAAGAAGAGGAGAAAGCTGAACCTGAACATATTCCTCCTCAACCTTACTCTCCCCCTAAGCAGAAAAAAGGAAGAAAGGGTCACTCTCAAAAAATGACACATCTATGGAAACATAATACTTGCGAGAGATGGGATCAAAGCACCGATAGCCCTTTTAAGAAGAAAAATAACCAAAGAAGACACAAGAAATAACACAAGGGTCAAGCTCACCACAAGTTGGAGACAAGTCATAAATGAAGCAACAACAACCAAACACACACATGGGAATAGAGAACAAAGAGGCCTTTGGAAACAAAAGTTGATGTGAAGCCTTGTACTCTAACAACTGAGATGGCATACGATTGATGATATATGCAATAAACATAATAGCTCCCATCCAGAAATATTTTAGAACATGCATATGCAACAACAATTCACAGGCAACCTCAGGAAGATGAAGATTCTTCATTTCTGCAACGTCATTCCATTGAGGTGTTTTAGCACAAGAACTTTGATGAAGAAACCCACACAAAGCAAAGAACTCCATTAAATAATAGTGGAAATACTCTTTTGTGCTGCCTTACTAGAAAATGTAAATCTTAGTCTAGAATTGGATAAATACAATGCGTTAAAAATCTTGTACAAGCTTTGGCACCGCATCTCTGGTTCGCCTTGGATAAACCCAAGTATATTTAGAGTAACCATCAATCAATGTAATAAAGTACCTATAACCAGTTTCAAAAAGGTAGAATAATAGGGCCCCAAACATCAAAGTTGACAACATGCAAAAGGAAAATCAATCTTTTATTTCTTAAAGAAAAACAATTTCTACAAGGTTTTCTTAACTAACAGGTCTAACACTACAACTTGTTTACTGACAAAGACTTAAATAAATCTGGAAACACAAATTTTAACAACTCAAAAGACAAATGATCAAGACGATTGTGCCATAAATAGGTCTGGCTCTTATTAGACTAACTCATAGACTCTATAGCCACAAGACTAGCTTTATTCTCCAACATGTAGATTGTAGAGACCATCCACCATGAGTCTAGATCTGCTCCTCATAGAGAACTACTCACACCGACCTCACAAAATGTTCCTAGTCATACATTTAGAACATCTCTCGCACTTATTTGTTATTATTCATGGAGATGTTCCCAATACACATTGGGAAGTGGGTATGAGGTTAGTGTAAGGAGTGCTCTGTAAGGAGCAAATCCCAATTCATCCACCATACTACATCTACCAATTGTACTCATGAAGGTCAAATCTTGGAACATGCAAGATGAGAAAAAGGTTACTGAACAATTTAAGGAATGAGTCATGTTGCTAATGGAAAGTAAATAAGCAATTTAGAAATATGCAATACATTAGAAAGGGTAAGACCAAAAGGAATGGAGATGGCTCCTTGACCAGCTATGGTAGAAAACAACCCATCGGCCAATATCACCATACTTATCCCAGAGAGGAGGTTATATGCTTTAACCAAAAAACGTACTAGTCATGTGATTTGAGGCCCCAAACTTAATTATCTAAGGAGACTCAAATTCAAATGTATGAGATGACACATGGAAAGCAATGGCAAAGTTACCTAATGTAGACGTTAAAGAGGCAGAGGGAGTAGAGCCAGGATCCATATAACAAAGTGTCCTACCATACAACTCCAAATGGTCACATAAAGAGTTGATGATCTCTTCCTTGGAATCAGAACTAGAAAGATGTTCTTGTTCATAAAATGGGGCTAGTAAAGATGTTCTTGTTCATAAAATGGGGCTAGTAGTCTCTTGAGAGGCCATATTTTCTCTATTGGACTGGTTTCTTATTTTGACCAGTTCCTGATTTTTAACTCAACTCCTGAGCCCACTCCGGCTTCCCATGAAGATCCAAACAAGTCTCTCTAGTGTGCCTAGACCGTTGACAATGAGTGCACCAAAATTTATCCTTGTCCTCTCTATCCTCTTCTAAAAATCACCCTTCCTAAAAGAGTTTCCAAACAAAGATGAAATTATCTTATCTCTTTCTTGGGCCCTAGTGCTCAAGGTGACTCCACTAGAGCTGAACTATCTCTTGTTCTATCTAGGGCACAATTAGCAAATAGTCTAAGGCTTAGTAGGTTGATCATTGAAGGGGATTCTCAAGTGGCGATAAGCTAGTTAGAGAATGAAAAGAAAGCAGCTTGGACCTACCGATAAGCTAGGCAAAGACCTGTTCCTAGGAAACAATAGAGACTTATAGGCCTTAGCATCCACATAACATTTTCAATCTATATTCTGATAATGATCCAGCTCCTTCCAAACTAAGGTTAAATCTTAGTATATGGAGAGACTCCTCTCCCCCTACTTACAAGTCGCGGATGCAGCTTATAACTGATAGGTTTTTGCATAATATCATTGTTCAGAATAGGTAGATTTAGCTTGTTCCCAAATCTCATAAGCAGTATCTGCCCACATGAAGGTCTTTCTCACCTATGGCAGATTGGCAGCATGGACAGTAACATCTACTATATCCCTATACTATTTTCTTGATCCCATTTGTCATGGTTTGCGCTCCCAAACTTTGGTTCTTTAATCTTACAATTAAAGGGAATTACAGCCATGGGAAAATTCATATCAAACCCCCCCCCACTCCACATTGACTAGAAAGCACACTAGAAACAGCTGAATCCTTAAAAGACATGGTAGAGAAACCTGATTTCACTATTCATCCACAAAAAAAAATAGTAACATATGGAGGAACTGTCAGAAGGATACTCAATCTCACACAAATCAGCAGTATAAGATCATTCCCTTCTATTCACACAAACAGTTCACACACTACCACACTGCTGAAGCAAAAATATGATTATTACAGGTCTGGATAGCCCTTACAGGGTAACACTTTACCCCCCCACTGAATCAAATTTGGTCATGGGAGTTTAACTCCTAAAGAAGCACTTCACGAAGCCTCCMGGAATTTGATTGATTTATTTATACCTTTTCTAGATGCGCAAGAAGAGGACATCCAATTAGAGGACAATCAAAACAAGGTTACTTTACCTTTTTTTACCTTTCATGATAGATTAACTA